AACCTCTCCCTGGCGCACAGACCTGTGAAAATGACAATGCTAAGTATTGTAGGAAACATGGGAGTTCTTTGCAGAGGGAAGCACAAAGGGTTGACGTGTGCAGAGGCTCAGAGGCAGGAGGTGCTTCTGTGCATTGAAGGAAATGTTCTTTCACGGTGGACATGAAGCCGAGATGCTCTGGCTGGGTGGGGGCCGTGCAGGATCAGGGAGTGCAGCTGGTGGGGACAAACTTGATCTTGAGAGTTGAAGAAATCCTGGGCGTGTTTAGGCAACAGAGGGTGTGGTCAAGTGCAGTCTCCTGTGACATTTACTGCAGCAGCCCTGGAGGAGGCGTGTGGTAGGCTGGGTGGGATGAACCCAAGAAGCCCTCTGGATTTCCAGTCTAGGCAACGCTAGAGACAGAGAGGAGTGCCGGGCTCAGAGAGACTCTTGATAAGGTCTTATCTAGGAAAATCTACTTCCCATATGGTCAGCATAGCCCTCTGGAATATTCAAGAAGCATTCTTCCAGAATAGAGCATCGATCGAGCAATTTGCTCTGAATAATTAAATTTGCAGTTTGAAGCCTGTAGCCGTGGAGTTTATTTATAATTGGAGCCACAGTTTGCATGCACTTTAAATGCAAAGAAGAGCCTTAACTGTCAAGTTATTATATTATTCAAGAGTTTAATTAATTACCCACTAATTGTAGAAGCCAACATCAAGAGTCACACCATATTGTTCCTATTACATTTGGAAACTATTTGAAGTGATTTAGTAATTTAAAAAAAAAAAAACAACAAACTTAGAAATACTGCCTATCTCCTCCTAGATATGGAAGGCCTGTTGTTCTGTGTATTCTAGTATTTTTTAAGATAGAGGAGTCTCCCTCGACTGTTGTAAAGAAGACACTCAGAAGAATGTCCTCAGAATTGAGCTATGTTTTCACTTAAAACAAGTCAAAAGACAAAAATGTTTTAACCAGCAGCAATTGATTCAAAAGATGTCTGTCACTGGGTATGATAGTATATGCCTGTAATCCCAGTACTCAGGAGGCTGAGGCAGGGGGATCGCTACAAGTATGAAGCCAGCCTGGGCTACATAGTGAGTTGAAGGCTATCCTGAGTTATATATGAGACTATGTCTCAAAAAAAAAAAAAAAAAAAAAAGAAACCAAAATCAAAAGATATCTATCAAAAGATTAGAAAAAATAACAAAGTAAAATAAGAAACACATTTGTGGGATTGGAACTGAAATGGACTACAGGCTTGATCTGTTTTACTCTCGGGTCTGTTCTCCAAATGTGAGTGCTGAGATCCAGAATGTCCAAGTCTTTGTGTCAAAAAAGAGGACCCCCTCTTTTGGTTGCCAAATTTCCTTCTTCTGCTGAAGTTCTAGGCCATGTCTACGTCTGACCAACAAGACTGTTCTTCCCTTTTCAGAAGCACAGGTCTCACTAAAAGTGTGTTGAACTCATTCATTAGCAGTTATCTTCCCCTCCAAAGGGTGCCCTCAAGAGGGGAACTCATGCCTTCTTGTCACTACTGTCCCCAGCTTGCCTCATGGGCCTGAGGACAGCGAACCATAAACACCACCAAGCTGAGCTCCAGGTACCCTGCCTCTCAGGAGGGCCGCGGCAGGAAACACAGCCACGGACAAGTTCCGCACAAATGCTCCAGCCAGAGTTACTGAAGAGCACCTGGACCCTGCCAGGCAAGGCTGCTTAGTGTCATGTTGCTGGCGGTCCAGGCGTTAGAGGCTGGGAGACAGCATTGATCAGGGTATGACACCCAGGCTAAAAGTGAGAACATGCACACCTTTAAAAACCTCTCTGTGAGATATTTACATTTGTACATACATCCTCAGATTCAACCAAGCTTGGAGCAAAAATATTTGAGAAGTGCTTGTGTCTGCATTGAACACATGTAAACTTTTTTCCTTGTTACCACTCCTTGGGCAATACTACAGCTATCTCTGTAGCGTGTGCATTACATCAGTACTGAAATGTGTGTGGGTCATATGCAGCTGCCACAGCGTTTTGTATAAGGGATCCAAGCACTCTCAGGAGGCCCCTGAGCAATCCTCCTGGGATGCTGGGGGTGATAGTGGAGAGCAGAGGTCTGCAGAGCGTCATACAGAGCAAGCGAGCAGATGTTTTGTGCTTTGAGGGCACATTGTCTCTGTCATAGCCAGGCGACTCGGCATGAAAGCAGCCACAGATAATACACACGAGTCTGCATTCTGATAAAGCTTTATTTGATTTCTCCAGGATGGCCACTTTTTCTGGAGGAAGATGGAATCTCAGTGCTATTTTAATTTGCATTTCTGTAATGGGCAGCAGTGTTGAACTGTTTTCCCATGTATTTATTGGCTGTTTGTATTTCTTCTAAGAAGAATCTATTCATTTCAGTTGCCATTTTTATTGGATCTTTCATTTTCAGGGGTTGTCTATTTTTTTTTTAGTTCTTTTATACATGCCCTATCTTACTTCTGTGTCTGAGGACCAGCTAACAAAACTTTTCCTCATTCTGTAGGTTGTCTCTGGGCTCTCTTGGCTGCTTCCTTTCCTAGGCAGAAGCTTTTATTTGAGATGATCTAATTTGTTGATTCTTGATGTGATTTGTGGTGAAAGTGAGATTCTGTTCAGAAGGTCCTGGCATATGCCTACGTGTTCAAGAGTTTTACCAAGAAATCAAGTAATAAAGGCTGGTGACCCTGCGGAGAAAAAGGAACTCTTCTACACTGTTGGTGAAAGTATAAACTACTATAATCACTATGGAAACCAACATGAAAATTCCACAAAAAATTAAAACTACAACTTCCATTTGACCCAGAAACTCTCCTTCTGGTTATCTTCCTAAAAGTGTTAAATACGTCATATTACAGTGCAATATTATAGTGATTGATGCATAACCATGTTGATAGCAACACAATTCACAAGAGTTAAATCTTGCAAGCAGCCTACATATCCATTAACAGATAAATACAGAGTATGTGGTATTTACACACGATGGGGTACTCTGCTATAAAGAAGGGTAAACTTGAGCCCTTTATTGTGAAATGGATGGACTCTGAGACCATAATGTTAAGTGAAATAAATCAGACACACAAGCTTAAATATCACATGGTTTCTCTTATATAAGAAACCCAAAATATAAATAGAGAGCAAAATAAAAGTCTGACAATAAGGAAGAGAGAGAGAGATTTTTGCAAATGTTCAGGGGACAAAGAGATGGAGAGAGGATGGAGGGAAGGGGTAGGGGATAAAAAGGTAGTTGGGATGTGTCCTGTATGGGAACCATCTTCACACCAGGAATGTAAACCCTATGTATGCAAACATGCACTAATACAAAAAGGAAAAGAAAAACCTTCATTTATTGACTTTGAAATTTGAATTTAATATAATTCCCATGTGTCATGAAATACTGCTCTCTTTTGGGCTTTTTCAACAACTTGAAAATGCAAGAGCAGCACTTTTCTAGTATGCATGAAACCTTGGGTTTGATCCCCAGAACTGCAAGAAACAATAATTCATAAGTCATGGGCCATGTGAGCAGGTGGAGGGCTGGAGTCGGCCCTTAGGAACCGCAGTTTGCTGACCACGTGGCTGAGATGATGACACACCCTTTCTTGGGTGTGTCAGGAAAGGTCACACTGAGCTGGAGGCAGAGGGCAGCCTGCAATGGGAAGGTTTGTTGTAGAAAGGACTGGAAGTGACCTCTGAAAGTAGCTTGGGCCAAGTTTTGAAGGGTTCTTCATACCATGTTGACCGATCTGGAGCCTGTGCAGAGGACGACTGCAAGTGGATGGTGAGTGTTTTGCAGGGAAATGACATGGTTAGGTTTGGTTTGGGGATGATCGATAACTCTGGTGACCACTGTCCACTCTGTAGTGAAGATTGTGGATGGAGAGATGCCAGCAAGGGCCACCAGCAAGGACAGGACCACTCTTGTCCAAGGAACAAAACTTGCCAGGACCAGTTCATAGACAAGGAACCCAGAACTGCAATCTGAGCAAGTAACAAAGGAGAAAAACTATAAATCTAAAGAGATAACTTGGCAAAATACACATCGCTGGCTTTGCGGGGGAAATGTTCTTGTTTCATCCTATAGGACATCAAATTCAGAAATGCCATCTCAGGTGGATAGTAGAAAGAAGCCCGCTAAGCCACCAGTGGTTCCAGGCACAGCGAGATTAAGGGATTTCTCCAAGGCCACATAGCTCATTATAATGTGCCACAAGCGCAGACGTTGCCTTCTGCTCACTTGGACCCCACCTCCTTGTGATGTTCACATGTGGTTTGAGTTTCCTGAGATATCAGGATATGGATACAAACCAAGAAGCCAAATATGCAGACCCCCTTCAAGTTAAGAGCTCACTCCTGGGGCAGCTCTGTGAGTCTTCCTATAAAAATGCACCATGAGCTTGAGGCTCACAAACAAAATCCTGGGTGACAGGAACTAGAGCTGACAGTCTACGCTGGGCGATGTCATGGGTTTGAAGCAGGAATGGAGACGGTCACCCTGCCCAGGGCTGTGACAAGTGAGGAGTGGTCAGCTATGGTGGTCAGCTATGATGGTCCGCTGAGGGGTCCGGGGGATTCCAAGGCATGGGTGACGAAGGCTTCCTCAGCTGGGTGAGAGTTATGTGGCTGCTATGGATTCAGGAAATTACATTAAGCTAAATATTTGCAGTATGTATGCTCTGTCCCTGGTCACCTCCTCAATGTGTGTGTTATATTCCCCAACACAAAGGTAAAAACATAACCAGATATAACCCTACTTTTATCTATATCTGCATGACCATCTAGAAGACCATTTGTATCTGCAAATGTACATATAGGTTATATATAAAATTAATTATATACATATGTAAAGAGACATGATTCATATCTCTATATCTATACCTGTACCTATATCTATCTATCTATCTATCTATCTATCTATCTATCTATCTATCTATCTATGTCCATCTATAAACAGAATGACCTATTGCCAAACTTCTTAATGTTTCCTTTATTACCATAAAATCCATTGAGAATATACTTTGGAGGTTATTTATACTCTGAATATCGGATTCCTAATCTGTGAAATGAAGGTAATTAAACACAAGCAGGCACTCAGCTGAAACTCCGGGATGGTCTGGCTCAGCTCCTGCTCCTGCGGGTTTTTCCTGCATGCACGGGGCCTGGCTGGGCAAGGGGTTCCTGAGTCTGCAATGCCCGAGGGGCCAGATGCTCAGTGAAGTCCAGAGCTCTGCTGAGCCCTTCCGGCCCCCTGCAGGGAGTCCTGCCCGCTCCCCACTCTTCTCCCTCATCAGCTAGAGGGTGAGGGAGCCTCTGCCCTTCAACACCAGAGCCCTGGTCAAATATCAAACTCCATAATATGTCTTTTTGATTCTTACCAGCTTGCTTTTCTGGCACACAGGGTTAATATAAGGGTCTTTCTATCTCCCTGAGCTCCTGTAACGATCGCATGAGCTGATAAATGTGAAAGATGTAGTCTTCTCCAAAGACGCACATACTGGTTGTTTGTAGCCCTAGAGACTCAGAGCTGTGCTTATCTGTGGCCCCTTGGACCCTGGGGTCTGTGAGTCACAGCTGGATCTCTTTCCTGTCACCACCTCTAAGTCTGTGACACAAGGTGCTGGGGTGGAACCTTTCAATGATGAAAACCTGAACAAGGAGCCACTGTGTTATATCTTAGTTCTTTATGAGGAAGGGACCCAGGATAACAACCCACAGTCCTTGTGAATTTCCAACATGCTTTCCCTGAGTTTTACATTATCTGCCCTGTACGTCAAGATGCATATTAGGAACCATAAACAGTAATAAATGAGGACACTATAATGAGGGTGGAAAATCGATAATAAAACAGGAAAACAATATCTTATTACTGGCTTGAGTGCAACAGAAATCAGGGCACATTTCCAAGATTAAGAATTAGATTAGAAAAATTGACAATGTGATAACTTTTAACAAAAGTGGAATTTGGCAATGTTGCAGAATATAAGAGGCGTGACGGCAATTGACGGGTGATAACACAGCGTTCAGTGGTGTCACTAATGCGAGGTGAGCCGTTTCATCTGTGAGAAGATTACCTGGGGGTTCAAATCACAGGGTGTGTTTTACTGCGTACTTTCAGCATAATCTGATGATGTCCATTTCAAAATTTGTAAATGTAAAAACCCCTCCTTTTTTCTAATTTACCAATTGCTAAATCACACACGTACGGTCTTCAAGCGCCTAACTCCATTCAAGTTCTTGTAATCTCATTTTGTAGGCTGCAGTGTGAGAAAGTGGTATAGAAAAGTCACAGAAGAGCTAGCAGGATGGGCCGGAGCTCTTCCCTCTGCTGCTACAATGTATGAGAGCACGGGAGTGCTCTATCGGAAGAGCGATCTTGCTCTCTGGGAGGAGCGGAGTTGATGTCATTTGTTGATGTAGGTCAGTACAGAGTTTGCTTGCCCTGTGCCAAGTTTTCTTTTTTTTTTTTTTTATTATGCGTTCAAGTTTTAAAATATTCAGCGTCACGATGCAGTATACACAATTTTGAAGTCCATTTTCCACTGAGGGGGTTGCTGAATGGGATGCAATCCCAACAGAGGTCTTGTGGGAGAAATTTGAAGTTTGTCCCGTTTGATGTGAATCCAATAGGATTTACGGCAGCAACAACAGAGACAGTCAAATTGTTTCCCATTTTAAATGGGGATGTTAGTGCTTATGAAAGCCATGGATTTGATGCCCCCCCACAAGGGCCTGAAGTCTTTCAGCCACGGAGTTGATAAGAGGGTAAAATATACATAAACCAGCAATATGAGCCTCCTAGCATGGTCAGAATTCAAGATGGGGGACACAAGGGCCAGGTCTAAATAGAAGCTCCTACACTAGACCAAGGGGTCACCTCATACCTCATGCCTCATGCCAGGCCCACTGTGCCCCTGTGGTATCCTTTATCCCTCCCAGCAGTCCATGTCTCAGGCTATGGATGGAAACTTGGGAGGCTTTGCCAAGATCTCAAAGTGACATAGTAGCCTCTGAAGGTTGACATACCTGAATACTAAGCCTAGCCTTCCTATAAATAATAGATCTGCACCTTGACTTACAACAAGACTATATTCTGGCAAGCTGGATGCCAGGTCAAAATATTGTCTGCAAAATGCATGTAATGTGTCTACCCTACAAAAGATCCTGGCTTAGCCCCATGGCACACACTGGTATGCTGGTGACTCGACTTTTTGACCTTGGAGCCAACTGGGAGCTGGGATCACTGCCTCGGTCCAGCATCTGAGAAAAGTTAGCACTGGCCCCAGGAAGAGCCAAATACAAATCTCAAGTGCAGGGGCTGGGGTATATTTCAGTGGTAGAGCACCTGCCTAGCATGTGAGAGGCCTTGGGTTCAATTCTCAGAACCACTAAAACCAAAAAAAAATTTTTAAACCAACTTTGTGCACTCTTTCTCCTAAGTCAGTTTTGCTCTTGCACCAGTGTAAAGGAGGAAAACCTGTCTGTCGTGCAAAGTAAAGCCCCCTGGAAGGTGCCGGGTGGGTGAGCTGGGCAATCACGCACAATAGCACAGGAAGTCAGATCCGAGCCAGGCAGGCTGCAGGCAGCCCCTGTGTCAGCTCTGCTGCTGGGAACACAGGCCCAGGTGCAGAGGGCAGATGCACCTGGATTGTAGGGAAACAGGTGGAAGGGGCACAAAGGACGCTGCCCAGAACCATCACCATGTGCCTGACCCAGGAGCATTCCAGGTGCTGCTCTAGAAGGTCTGTGATGCACACACATACAGGCAGAGGCTGCCACACCCATTCTCCAGGGAGCCAGTCTCTCCTCCCTCTCCAACCTTATGCACAGGACAGAAAGTGCCTGCTGACCACAGGGCTTAATTTTAACCCCTCTGTTTCATCTATACACATGCACTTTGCAAATGGCTGTCCCAGGCCTGGGATTTGTCACCTGGGGTTGGAGACCTGTGAACCTGGAGCTGCTTGCCGTCCAGCAGCAAGAGAGTAGCAGGAGTGAGGGACAGCAGCAGGACAGGCTCTGCAGGAAGTCCTGGCTCCAGTCTGCCCTGACTCCCACAAAGTGCGGAAGGTAGAGCCCACCTCTTCACTTGAGCAGATCCTGCTTGTGCTCCTCTCCCAGCCTTTCAAAGAATTCTGAAAAATCTGAACCCGAGAGCCCACACCTGGTCCATGTGAGCAAATTCCAGGGAAGGGAGACCAAGGAGTGGGCAGGGGCCTGGACATTCTGTGCCTGGCAGCGTGGAAATGGCCATAGCTCACAGTGTGATCCTTCCTCCAGCAGTGTCTCCCGGCACCTGCCAGAAATGTAGAAGCCTGGGTCCACTGAAGGGGAATCTGCCTTTTCCTACTATCTCCAGGATATGCACAGAGCATTGAAATTGGAGAAGCTTTTGTCAAAGGGACACCAAAGTCACCTGTTAATTGAGTGGTGTACCTGAGGCCAGCCAGCAGCTCAAGGCAAAAGCCGAGCTTCCCTGATGACTGTGCTATGGAAAGCAGGACAGATGTAGGGCACGAGGATGTTTAGACTCCATCTTGCTCAACAGTAGGACTGTTGAGACTGAGCCCAAGGACACAGAAGGAGGTCCCTGAAATCGTACGGTTGGTCACATGTGCTGAGCCCAAGAGGACAACCTCTTCTCACTGTACAGAAAGACAGACCAGCTGCATCTCACTCCTCAGTCTGTCTGTGCCCAGGTCTGCACGTGGAGAACAGAGCAGCCCAAGTCACCTCACCCCTCAAGAGTGACGGGCTCTTCCTCACCATCACGCTCATCCAGGAATCTGTCCTCGAGTGGCAGCTTCATCCTAAGTGATTCATTCTTCAGCAAAGTCCAGTAGCTTTATGAATCTGGAAAGCAGTAAAATCATCAACATTTCTTAAGCTTAAATTAAGTTCAGATCTTTCTGTTCCACTGAAGTCATAGCAAAAGGGATGTTTTCTGTGCAGCTCTGCATTTGTTTATGGGCATCTGGGAGCACCAAGCACACCAGCAAACAATCTCTAAGCAGGACTCATGTTTGTGCAGAAATTTGAAGCTTGCAAAGTCCATCTTACACAAAGAGCTTCATCTTGTCCCATTAAACAACACATGCAAAAAAATGTTTGCACAGATGCAAATTAAAAACAGTAATAATATTAACGCTGATAATGGTGTTAAATGGATAGTAGAGATGATAATAAGCCCTATGGGACAAATATTTAGATGTTGTTGGAATTAATGTCCATGAACACTTTCAGTAGTGACGGGTTGAGTTTCCTAGCTAGGTCTTGTGAAAGGTGCTTTTACCAGAAGTTAAAATCAGGGAGTCCCATGCCCATCACTGACCCTGTGTTTTGAGTAGCAAGGTAGGAAAAATGACAAATTCCCAAAGATGTTCTTATCCTCCTCCCTGTCATCTACGATGGTATTTCCTTAGCTGGCAAGAGCAACTTTACAGCTATGATTAAGAATATGGATTCCAAGCTGAGAGACCTTCCCGCAATGTCCCAGATCAGGATTTGGTCTGAATCTTTAGAGACGGAGGTTCCTTTAAGGGCTGGGGGAAAGACTGAGACACAGAACAACACACAACCTCATCGGATGGCTGGCTGTGGATGTGGAAGTAAGAGAGCATGTGGCAGTGGATGCTGGAGATCCCTGGAAGCTGAAAGGACATGGCAATTAATTTGATCCTAGAATCTCTAGGAAGGAAGGCAGCCCTGTCGACGCTTTGATTTTAACCCAACAAAACCAAACCTGTATTGGTCTCTTTAAGAGACTATACTGTGTTATGTCAGCCCCTAAGGTGATGGAAATTTGTTACATCAGTAACTCATAGGAAACTAATGCAGCTACAGGTATCACTAGGAAGAAAATATAGGGAATCATCTTTGAGTCTATGCTGAGGAAATGGCAGGAACAAATGGAAAGAGTTTTATGCTGCTGAAGGGATTCTTTGCTAGGAAAGAAGCAGGTGGAGAGGGTGTGGTACTGGTTTCTGATTGCTTAGTAGCCCTGTGGACTGCAGAGCTGCCAGGTGGTTTGGTTCAGTTGTGAGCTGGGTCACTAATTAGCTGTGCGACCTTGGGCAAGCTATCCAACCTCTCTGTGCCTCCGGTTCCTACGCTAATAAACAGGAATAAAGACAATGGTGATGCCATGCGCTGTGCAAGAGTTGCGGAAGTTAACATTTGCAAACACCAATATGATACCCGACATGTAGTAGTTGCTGTCTATTCTTGACACATGGCTTGAATCCACTTTAGGGATTGTAACCTGGTCTAAAAACTCATTTAGGGTAGAAGAATGAAAACGTTTGGAGCATGTGGCACAGGGAAAGAATACAATCCAGAGATTCTGGATGAAGCCACAGCCCAGCTAAAGTGATGGGTGGTTTACCTGGCATCTTTGGTCTTCTGTTTTCTCTCTCTAAATAAAAGAAACTAAAACTACAGTGTCATTACTGTAAGATTGAGATGTGCTATCATCAGTGCACACAGCTGTCTAGTGGAGCTGAGTCTACACTGAGCTGTGCCCCGTACTTGATGTCGACCACCTCTTTACCTTCCCAGGATGTATGCAGGAGCTACACTGCCTTCCAGGAGCTGCATTGTATGGAAACCGCTTCTCAAGGTATAGGGTAATGTACACATGACATGGTTATGCCTGAATGGCTTTACGGTGTCCACCTATGACTTATCACTGCTAATTCTGCAGTAAGATCACCAAATGTTAGCAGCAGGCTGCAGCCATTCTGTCAAAGGCACCCCTGCCCTCAGACAAACCGGCCACAGTTTTGTGTGTGGATGTTCCCACATCCTGATGATGGAATTGCCGGCCGCCTTAAATAAAGTGTGCCTGGCAATCTGTGAGGGTGGATGTTTTTAGGAGCCATACTCTGAAGAGTGACTAACCCTATGAAGGGATTGAGTTGGCAAGGAATTAGGTATCACCCCTAGGGGTGAGTTGCCCCACTCCTGGTTATCTGTATGTCTGAATTTCCAGTTACCAAGGAGGAAGGTGATGCCCCTGGAAGGGAAGTGACATTTGAGGTTCTAGGTGTTGATGTGGTGTTGCTAAGCTATGGCTATTCCCTGACACAGAAACCGAAAGAGTGAGCTTTCAAAACTGCAGGATCACTGAGGTCTGGCCTGGACAGCTGCTGCAGCCCACAGGGGTAAGACCTGTACCTCTCAAGATTCCACAGTGGATGACAGCAGAAAAATGTCTGCCTTCGCTTCATACCACAGAGCTTGCTTACCTTGAGCAGGTGAGGTGCTCTTCCATCTTTCTCTGTGCTGCCTCTCATCCGGTCCTCTCCATCCCAGCCACCCTGAGCTCAGCCCTTTCTGCAGCTGATTCCTTGGCATCCAGTGGTTTCCCTGATGGAAGGAAACAAGCATGTTGAAAGAAAGTGTCTGTGACACTCACAGTCTGAGGAAGGAGAACTTTAACTTGTCTCACAGTTTCGGTGGTTTTAGTCCATAGTCAGCTGGATCCACGGCAGAAACATCAAGGTGGAAGGAAGTTCATGGATGCTGGGAGAAAAAGGACAAGGGAAAGCACCAAAGAAGGATCCAGGCACTAGCATCACACCTCCATGCTCCCCTTCACTGTCCTGCCCCACCCAACACTACATGCTTCTTCAGGCATTGGTTCAGCACAAGAGTCTTCTGGGAGCTCTCTCTAACCTCACAGGACAGGGGGTTGATGGATTTTCATGCCACCCTGCATGTCACTAAACTACACCCTTTAAAAATCCAACATTTTATCAATCTACATCTATCTACCTCTATCTGTCTATTTACCTAGCTATCTATCCTACACCTGTCAGTGTCTATCAGACTGTGTGGACAATCTCCTGTCATTCCTACAGAAATGACACAAAAGGTATTTCTCAAACGTCCTTATGTGATACCCCCAAACGATTGTAGATTGGCAGTTGGGCATAGAATTACAGGTTGGGATTATCTATCTATCTATCTATCTATCTATCTATCTATCTTTCTTTCTTTCTTTCTTTCTTTCTTTCTCTTTCTTTTTCTTCCTATCTATTAACTATCTATCTATCTATCTATATCTATCTATCTATCTATCTATCTATCTCTATCTCTTCTTTATTATCTACACACACATGCATGCATGCATACATACATGTCTTAAAACTCAAATAGGCCTAAGAAGGTCTTAATACAGAAAAGAAAAATTCCATGAACTCTATCCTCACTCTGTTACTAACTCCTGGGAGAAAATACCTTCAAATGTTTAGCTGTTTTATTTATTTACTTCTCTATGTTTATAATAACCCTCTTACACAGCTACATATATAGTGTTTATTTTACACATTACCTATTAACTTCCTGTGATATGAAGGCAGAAATATTTTTATGCTCCCTATCACATGATTAATGGATTTCACCTTTCTCTATCCTCTCAATACTGATCAAATTGTATGTGAAATTTTTTGTGAAGACCATGCCAAGTTGTCCTGGCTGAGTCCCCAAGTGTTTGGTGACTTTAGTCTAAATTGTCTTTCCCTATTCTAAATTGTCACTGTTGTGTTTTGGATCCCTATCACTGACTCATCCCAACGGTTATACATATGCTCCTCCTGAAGCAGTTGGAGAATCAGACCATCTATGGGCTCTGGTTTTTTTTAGGAAACATCCTTTCTTTAGTTTTCTAAATCTCTGCTTTGGCTTGATCCTATTTTTCTGCAAACCACAGGGATCGCTCTGCAGCTTCCTTTCTTTCTGACCGTAGAATTCCCTTTGCTTCACTTCTGTGCTGGACCTATGTCCCTGCTTCCTGGTCTCCCTGTCCCCAGGTATCACCCTTCCTTTGGGTTCTCAATCCTCTGCCCTCTCAGGAGAAAGTACCCAGGAACTCTCCCCGAATGTCTGTACCTGACCTTCCTTGGCTATAGAATCCCAGGGTGGACCAACATTGCGTGCACCCTAAAGACTCTGAGCTACAATCTTCCAGCTCCCCTGACGTTCCAGGGCACAAGAAAGTGACTGTCTCCAGCTTGTGCTAACTTCTGAAAGGGTTACAGAACTTCCCTTCATCTCCACTGCTCGACAGTTGTCGCTTGGTCCCACTCATTTTACAGGACTTTCAAGAAATTATTAAGATTGTTTTGACATTTTTCATTCCTCTGTCTTTTCTCTTTAGTGGTCTGATTCAGTCTTGCATTCTTACATCTGCTAATCTGAGCAACTTTGTTGAAGATAACAATATGTAATATAACAGCCACTGTTAACTCCTATCATTTTGTTCTGAAACCCTGCATCATTTTTATTATGTTTTCTTCGTTTTGTCTTTGTCTATGTTGTTGGTATTTTGCTATTGTTCTTTTTTCGTTTCTTACTATTCTCTTTAAAAAATCATAGTTACTGTGGAAACATATTTTTTGTTTAAGGTAAAATTAACATTCATTGAAGCACACAAGTCTTCATCGTCACTCGGTGAGTTTTGGCCCACGCTCATGCCGTGTAACTAAAGGCTAAGACGCGGACATCTGGGGCACCTGGGGGTCCCTCCAGCTGCTTCTAGCCGCTGAACTGTCCTCCCAGCAACCACTGCTCTGAGTTCCCTGTTATATGCGTGTTTTGCATGTTGTAGGACTGGAGAAAAGAAACCATGTAGCGTGTTTTCTGTATCCTGCTGAGTTATCGCGTGCATTTCTCACACTTATCTGAGCTGTTGCCAGCACCAGTGGTATGCTGCCTCTTGCTTTTGAGAGTCATATTTCAAAACACAGTGCTGTTTGATTTATCCTGTGTGTGCATGTGTGTGTGTGTGTGTGTGTGTGTGTGTGTGTGCACATGTGTGAGCATCTGGTACTAGGAATTGAACCGAAGGCTTTTCCACTGAGATATACCCCTTCTAATTTTTTCTTATTTTTTATTTTGAGACAGGCTCTTGCTGAATCTCTAAATTGACCAGATTGGGCTTGAATTCAAGATCCTCCTGTCTCAGCCTCCTAGACTGGTTGGATTAGGGCCATGTGCTGGCACACTTACTTCCAGTGCCCTTTTAGTAGACTCCTGGGTTGTTTCCACTTTGTAATTATTGTCAATAAGGCTGTTATGAATGTTCTGTGCAATTATTTTGTAAAAATTCTTTCCAATTGTGTAAATTTTTATGAGTGAAATTTCTAAGTCAAAAGGTGGTGAATTTATAATGTTTTCAGAAACTGCCCTTAGCAGTAAAGGAAGCTTCTAGTTATTCCTTATCCTTGCCAACATTTAATATTGTCAGTCTTTTCATTTCTAACCATTTTGATGGATGTATAATGGTATTTTGTTGTGGTTTCTATTTGTATTTTCCTGCCAATTAATAAAGTTAAATATTTTTTCATGTTCTGATTTGCCAGTTGTGTATTTTCTTTTATGAAGTGTCGGTTACACATTTTATTCAATTATTTTTCTTCATACTGTTAATTTGAAGGGGGTTTCTTACACATCCCACATGCATAGGATACACACACATACATACTAAACATATGTATATATACATGCACACTCAGGATGCATTTTATAAGTACTATTTTAGTAGTTACAGTACATACATACCTATACTGTATATTTACAGTATATATGGTATCATAGTAGTTACAGTGTGTGTATATATATGTATATGCACATATATAGTATATATCTATATGTGTAAATATGTATCTTAATATTTATAGTGCATGTATACCTAAATACATTGTAACTACTAAAATAATTATGGAGTATATAGAGTACATATTTCATATACACAGGATCAACAGTGTGTACTGTAGCTATTACCATACTTTTTACATTTTTGACATTAATGAAATATACATAAAATTCACTCTCATACACACTTTTAAGTACACAATTCAAATGTTAAGTTCTAACCCAGCTTTCAGTCCCTGGGATATTTTTCTTTTGCTTTAAGTGTTTTCCTTTAGTACATCCTATTCTTTTCAATAGAGGCTGCATCTTCTTTTAGCTCTCTGAATTGTATAATCACCTTCTGTTCCCGCATTGTCTCATTTTCCTTTCTGACTTCGAATCTGCAGCTCCCGATTTCTTCAAACCCCCAGTGGATAGTGCTGCCCATGGACAATGGCCAGTGCTGGGGATCTGTGGGGCAGGAAAGCCTGGCAAACGCTTTCCTTCAAGGCAGGAGGCAACTTGGCTTCACGGTGTATTTCAGTACCTACGGGCCTTTGATGCTGGGCCGGTCAGTATTCTTGATGATAGGAAGCTTCCCACCATTGCCTGGCCAGGGTCTCAATAGGATCGAGTTTGGGGTCAAACTGGGTAGTAGCTGGCTCTAAGCTGTGTGTGGTGACTCCCCTTGGCATCCAGGAAGCTTTTGCAGACCCTGGTCAGTTCTCCTGGGGTTCATCCACATGGCACCTTCTTGTTCTGCTTTCCCAGAGACGAACGGCCTGGGCTCCTACCTCTGGAGCACACAGTACAGAGACACTTGGGGCCAGGGCATAGTGGAGGAGAGCACGTAGCCAGTCTTCTGACTTCAGGGCCACTTCAATCTTGACCTGCAGGTTCACGGCGTCCGTCCTCAGCCTCTCATCGGCAGATGCATGCACTGGTGTGGCTCCCCCTCATCCACCAAGGGATGTGCAGTTCTCCCATGGGTTCTCCAAGTCTCGAGAGCTGGCACCCTTTGAGCCTTTGTCTGGGGTTCCTTCTTGGTGGTCCTCATCTCTGGGACTTGGGAATCCCCTCCTTCATGGAGATATGGGAGGAGGCACTGCAGACTGAAGCCCATCACGTCCCTGTACAACACCCTGCCAGTGTCTGCTCGCTCTTGTGCCTGAGCTTCCCCAGCTGGGGTCACCAACATGTGGCCATGTTGCTCCTCCCAGGGTCTTCCCAGGACGGGGCAGGTGCACCTGAGCATTCTTAGTCCACCCAGAACTCTGGGCTCAGACGTGGAGCCTGCCCACCATGAATGTGTGCTCGGCACCAGGTCTGGGCCCTGTGCTTGCTTTTCTGTCTCTATTCCAGGCTGCCACCGGATCCTCATAAGGTAAATTGCTCTCAATTCTCTTAAAACACAAACAGCCTCTCCTAGTGCTTCAAAATAAGTATCTCTAAACAGGAAGGAGGCTGCCCATCCACTGTTGGTCCTACATGACATCACGGCTGGTTTGCAGTATTTAGAAGGTTAATAACACCTGCTTTTTAAATCACTGTTGGTCGCAGACCCCGGTGCCCACATCAAACACATGGGGTGTTTTGCATACATGGTGTGCAGGCAAACTTCCCACAGCGAGGGCCAGAGATGGGAGAGAATGTTCGCATCGCAGCAATGCCTTCCTTTTATTGAGAGTCTCCTGCAGGACCGGCATGTGCCAACTCCTTAGACAGACTCTCAGCCAGCCTGCCTTGGTGCTACCATCATTTTTGCTCAACTTAGGGAAAAGCTGCAAACCCAAGAAGCTAAAAAGCAGTTAATTTCTGACAGCGAGTATGTGATGAAGTCAGGAATCCAAGCAGATAGGATTCCAAACAGGACTCTCAACATTCACAAGCTGTTTCCAATTTTGGCCAGCAGGGCATATTCGGACGCAAGTTCACAGCACACGCAGGAAGAGATAGCCCGGCCGTGGATGTAACCGTTCTCCTCTACTGAGGGAATTGGAGAGGCAGTCCGGAGACGGGAGTCCAGCCGAGGCACCCCTCTCATTTGAGAGCAGCCCCCACCTTCGCTTCTGGTGTTGAGTTGGAGACTCCCAGAACTGTGCATGGAGTGCAAGCAGGAAGCCCCAGAGGCCTCGGTCCTGGTCTGTTCAGCCCGGAGCTCTTAGAGGAAAGGGAAGGCAGTGGCCATTGCTGCGGAACTGGCTGCTACCTGAGGGCTTTTTATTTTATTTTTTTCTGGGGTTATTGAGGTTGACAGGCAGCCAGTTAGTGAGAGTGACTGTCTCAAAAAACTGAAAAGAATAAAGCTGGCACCCTTGAAACAGGTGAATGTTATGCTATGTAAATTATAGTTCAGTGGATCTTTGTTTCTCTTTGTTTTTTGAGACAGGGTCTTACTGTGTAGTTCAGGCTGGCCTTGAACTCACTATGGAGCTCAGGCTGGCCTCTGGCTTGTACTGGTTCTCCTGCCTCAGCCTCCTGAGCACTGGGATTACAGGCATGCAGCACCACACCCAGCTCAATAGATCTGTTTTTAAAACTAAAGATACCAACGGCACAGGGGAGATAGTGCCTACAAAGGGTTGAAAAGAGCACGGACTACAATTCACAAAGCAGAGTGGCAGAAAGTTCAGCAACAATCTCTACTGTTGTTCGCTGGAGGAACAGGCTTGCAGAGCAGGTTCTGTTATCTGTGGCTCATCAGTACACTCCAGGTCAGAGACGTTCAGCTGCTACCTTGAAGGTGCACAGCACTGACTGTCAGGTGCAGGATTCCAGCCCAGGCCTCTGAGACCCTTGTGTTCCTGGCTTCGAGCTCACCGGGACTTGCACAGCCATTCGTGGCTGACAGGTCGTTAGTTCCTCCTGCAGGCGGGACTGCTGAGCTGGAGGGCCTGGAGGGCATTCGCAAAATGTCTTCGCTTCCCCACTTTGGTTTCGGGCTGTGTGAATTCTCACTGCCCCGTGTTTCGCTTTGAGCTGGGCTTTCTTGGGAGCTGCACGCTTCACGTGAAATCTGGCCTGAGCTTTTCTGATTCGGGGCTGAAACCGTCAGAAACTGCTGAGCAGGCCCTGGCAGCTCCCACATCAAAGGCGCTGGCCTGGGCCCCCAGACCCGGCTGGAAGGCCGGGCTGCCCACGGCTTCCTCGGGGCCAGGACGCAGTCAGCGCATCTTGTTTCGAGTTTCAGCCCAGCCCTTTTCAAGTTTCACCCTGAGCTGTTCACACCCAGCCTCTTCCCTCGCAGGTCTGCACCTTGCAGCGCGGGCTGAGGCATCGGAGCCTGGGCGGCGGGCGGCTCGGCTGGAGGCTGAGGGCTGCCACTGTAGGGTCGGACCGGACCGGCGTGTCGCTGGCTTTGTTCTCTAAGCCTTGGTGCAACCTGTGCACATGGAGCCCTGGACGCTGCCTTTTAGCTCCTCGGAACTCCAGTGACCTACAGGGCTGCGTGATTTGTTTTCTCTTGTGCTAAAAATTGAACCCAGGGCCTTTGCACTGAGCTGTATCCCTAGCTCTTTTTTTATTTTAAAATTTTGCTAAATCCTGAAGCTGCCCAGACTAAGTTTAAATTCACAACCTTCCTGCCTCAGCCTCCCTGGGTGTTGGGATTACATTTGTGTACCAGGACTACCTTGCCTGGCTCTAAAGTTGTATTTTGGGATGAGAAGACTTTAGCATTGGGGTTTTACTCCCCCTATTTTTAAAAGCAGAGTCTACAGATTTTCTAGTTTGTCAAACAGGAAAGGGCATAGATCGCAGATGGGTGAAAGGATCTTTCTAGAAGTCAGACGCAAAACAAGCCCCGGAGCCCAGCTCTGCAGATCCTGACCCCTGCCCTGGGACCCACACCATGGGGTCCCCAAGTCACCCTTGATCTGAGCCTTTTTGTAAACCAAACCTTGAGAAAGAGGGTTCATTACTTAATGCACCTTCACTAAAATAATGGCGATTTTCTTCGCTGCAGCCTGGCAACTTCCGCGAACATCTGGTCAGGGCTGGGCGGCCCGGCCCTCTCCGCCCACAGAGGAGTGGTTGGGATGGCCGCAGTGTAGAGCCCCAGATCCCCAGGGATAGGGACGCTACTGCCTAAGGCACCAGCTGCGGGGCTTGCTTGGCTTGCACAGCGCCTGCTCTCCGAACGGAGCTGCCACTCAACCCTGGGCTGTGGAGCATGGCAGTGGGTAACAGGGAAAGATGCCACAGCAGCTGGGGGCAGACGACGTGGAGAGGAGGCAGGCCAGGATGTGGGAGTGTCCAGAGGAGAGCCATGCAGCTGGACACACAGCTCCACGCGTGGACCAGTCGTGATGGATGGTGATGGCCATCCATATAAGACAAACCAGGTTACCCATCAGTCCTCTACCCCTGGGGTCAGCTGGCCTGGCTTGGGCCTGGACACCCTGGCTTGCCTTTTCATCTCCATAACTTCCTCTTCCTGGGGCTTCCTGAGCGGTAAGAAAGTCACACTGTGAAGCAGACAGACAAACCCAGTATGAGGATTTGGAGGCAAACTCTGTACTGATGCTGGGATAGCGTTATCCAACATAGGAGACACACACCAAATCCCGATGGGGTGACCCCCAGGTGAGAGGCTGGTACCCAAAGCTATGGGAGATGGGCAGGAGAGGAGAAAGACATAAAACATATTTTGATATTTATAAAGGGATGAGAGAGAGAGGGAAGAAAGGATGGAGGGAAGGGAGGAGGAAAGGGACTTGTGGACTCAGAGAACAGAGAAGGAACACCTAGCATGACCAGAGGGACACAGGTGATCATCAGATCAGATAAGACTCAGTGGAGAGTGGGTCTCTGAACTGAGTCTCTACTTGAGCCTATGAGTCTATAGGAAGGAAGCTCAGCAAGGTCAAATTCAATAAGCAAACTGGGAAATGTGGGAAATGCACGGACATGCTCACTATAGTACTTGGTAAATGTTTGCTAGAAACACCAAATTAGTAAACAATAAAGGCTCTTTTATGATGGCTTCCAAAGTAACTTTTCCTACAGTTCCTACTTAAGTCATAATTTTGTTTCAAGAATGTACCTCATGGAAAATCTCTTGTAAGGAACTGGGAATCCTATAGATCAGGAACCAGGACTATCTGTGGGAGTCAAGGGCAGTTATCTGCCCAACCAACATTCACCATCTTCTTGCTAACAGGCTGCAGTTTTTTTGAGACAGCAATGTCCCCCAGAGGGCACCAATCTTGGTTGGCAGTAGGCCAGTTGGGGGGTTTAACTGTAACTGACCTGAGGCACACTTTCCCAGTTTCCTTTGCAGTGGTGTGGTCATGTGACATACTGTGGTCAGTGGGATTCTGGGAAAACATTTACTTCCTTGAGAAGCAACAGAAATATAGATAGAATTCTCAAACTCAACAGCCTCAGAATTCTCTCTGGCTCCCAGGTACTAATGGACCATTGTGCAGTTTAAGGACAAACAGCAGCTGATCCCCAGAGGCTAGACCTGAAAAGAAAACTCGCTCAGAGGCTCAGTGCTGCCTCTCTTTGCCATAGGACTCCTAGCAAATTACTTCACTCAACCTCTGTTTCATTTTTGGAAGAAATGAAACAAAGCTCCAGTAGCAAAGGTTGATGTCCAGCCATTGTGTGTGAAAATACAGATGTATAAACTCTGAAAGTGTTTTCCAAAATGTCATTCTTTATAATATTATGGTACTGTTCCCTTGACTATTCAATCAAATTATTATAATTGCTATTTATAATTTTTCAGCTAATTGTATTTTCCTCATATTTATGAATATTATGCTGAAGGGGATATTATCAAACTGGTGTTTTCTAATAATTTTTCAAAAACACTTTGAGCATTTTCCATATTTTATGAAGTTAAAGGTAGATTCCATTGTGATTCTTTTTTTATAAAATTTATCAATTTTATTTATTTTTATTTAGTACTGTGTCACGTGATACTATATTTCTTTACCATGTGATAGCTTTGGTAGAGAGAATAAAACATTATTTTTAAGGACTAAATTTGACCTTATTAAATTCTATTGAAACCTATATCCTTCTGACTCATGGAGTTTGTCTGCTGGGAAGACTAGCCTGACCACTAGAAAATTTTAGCTGGCATCTGAGCAAGTCTACAATATGATGATCTCTAAAGTTTCTTTCCATTTACTCTAATATTCTAGTCTTCCTTTTTTTTCCCCAACAAAATTGAGGAATTGGTACATGCTCAATTAAATAATGAACTTGCATTGCCTGAGCACATATTAGTTTCTTGGCTGAGTTTAACATTTATTAGGTAATAAATGTTATTAAAGTGCCAACCTCAAAGGCACCAGGTGAATACGAAGAAGAGCAAGACAGGACTCCCAGGAAACCTGGGTAGAGTTTTCGAATGGGAAGACAAGTCTTGAAGCCACTGTAATCCCCTTGACACTTGCAGTGACCCCAAACTGCCCTGGTAGAGGAAAGAGAGCCTCAAAGACATCAGAGATCAAGGACACCATCCCAGCACATATGCACCCCTCCTTCACCAGGATGTGGGAAATCCGCCCCTCTCTGCCTGCCTTTCAGCATCCTTTTTCTTCTCCATCCACCCCAGTTCCAGACAGGCCCAAGCCTGGAGGAGACTGGGGAAGAGCTGTGTAGCTTCTGCCTGCCACTAGGGGCGTGAAGCTGAGAAGGGAGGAGGGAAGCCCTGAGCTGGTGGCTGTCCCCTGGCTCCTCTCCTTTGTACCTGGCCTCTTGTCCCCCATATTCAGCCACCTCCTCCTCTCAGGTGTGCTTCTTGCCTCCATACTTTCCATAGTTTTTCCACAGTGGTTTACACCTAGGACTGCAGTCTCCCACATTTAGGGCAAAATTCACGTTCTCTCTCTCTCTGCACTAGATATTAAACCCAGGGCCTTCTCACTGAGCTACATCCTCAACCCTTTTTTATTTTTATTTTGAAACAAGATCTTGCTTAGTTTCCCAGGCTAGGCTTCAACTTGTGATACTCCTGCCTCAGCTTCCTAGAATGCTGGCATTATAGGCATGTGCCACTGTCCCCAGCTATCCCTCCAAGATGAAGCTGATTAAACACCTCACATTTCCAGGGAATATTTGCCTTCACATGTGACAGCTGTGTGTGGTACATGCACTGATGAAGCCGGGACAGCTGAAAGGCTTGCTTGGGAGAATCATTACATAATCTGGGAGGCACGGAGCCTCCAAACATGACAGATCCTCCTTTTGGGGATCTCTTCTCAGTGTCTTTACTCACTGCCAGAAATGAGGCCCAAGCAGAGAAATGAGGAACCACTGAGGCAGTGGCTGCCTGTGACCTCCATCGGACTCTCCTGAGGGAAAGGCTGGGTGGCACCCTGTGCCCCATGTGTCGGGACCAGGGCAGGTTGGGATGACAGCCAAAGCCACACAAAGGGTAGGGTGGGAAAGGACAGGTCCAGAGAATGCAGGGTTTCAAAGCCTGGAACCAAAGAGAGTGGTTTGGGAAGTTTTGCAAGTGATGGGAGCCAGGGAGTGGCCGGCCAGGCAGCTAGAGGAGGAGGGGAAGGAGAAAGCCCTACCACGGTCCCCCTCCTCCTTCCCTTGTCCCAGACTGGCCAGAGAGGGGCACGGAGGTGGCTGCCCTCACTCACTGCCGCCTGGATTTCCACTGTTAGAGCCAAGGCCGTCCCACCACCACGCTGACAAGTCAAGGGAGGAAGAAGCCGTTATTGAGAATCTCGTGGATGCGCCTGTTTTGGAAAGCTCTATCTGTTTGTAGTACCTATTTGGATCATAGACAATTTTGTATAATCTTCCCAGACATATGTGGGAAAAGAGAGGGCAAACTTTTAGAAGTAAGTAAGTAAATACAATGTAGGTCCTGCGGGATGTCAGCGAGGACACGGAGACGCTGTCTGCCCATCTCTCAAGGAGGATGGGGAACTCTCAGTGGTTCTCAGAGGGCAGAGTCTTGGTGCCAAAGTCCATTCCATTTTCAGGGCTCTGTGCCTTCCATGGGGACTTCCCCTCCTTCATGACCCATGGTGACTGTGAATCTGTTACTAGGTGGCAATTCCCAAAATATTTTGTCACATGGGTACAAACTAAATTACAATTTTCAGGGAGGACAAACACCCACCATTCCATAACAACAGTTCCTGCATAAACAGACAAGATTTCCTAAATTGTCAGTGAGTAGCTATGAGGTTTCTGTTTTACATGTATTCGCCATAAATTCACCCTTTAATAACTGATGAAGAATAACTGTGGAAATTTGTATGGTACAACGTGACATTGGGCTCATGACCAAATCAGAGCAATTAGCAGATGGATCCCCACAAACATGTATAAGTTTTTATTCTTCAACAAATGTTTATTGAGTGGCTAATATATGAAAGCTAACCCATTGTAGAATCAGTCAAAATTACTAACTGGTAGGTTTAAGAGATGTTAATTTGCTTTGCAATTGATTCCATGGCAGGGAGTGTAGTCTAAGAAAAATGCTCATGCTGATTTGATTTTTATTTCATTTGATTTTCCTGATTTTTATCATAGTAGCATAGGTATCACCTTAAGCCTGATTACAGATCTATGTACAACTGGAAAAGTCTATGTGCAACCACTGGCAACTCAATAGACTCTACATCCTCTTTTCCGGTGTAGTCCATTGCTGTAAAAAAAGAAAGGTTGGACATGCTCTGAGATTTTCCTCCTGGCATGGCTCAACCCTGGTCCAGCCTATAGCCTTTAATTAAGGCATTCTATATTTCTCAGGTCCTGGGCTGTCACTCTTAAAAGAGAATGATGATAAAAAGACATCTCTCCTATAACTGTTTTGAGGACTAAGATCCTAATGTTAAAATCCTTAATGCATTGCTGGGTTCTCTATGAATTAGTCAAAACCAAATCTCAGATTTGCTGCAATGATTAAATGAACAGGAGACTACATAAAAAAATGTAAAGCCTATTGAAAATTGCTGTATATATTTACTTTTTATCGTAGCTATTTCTGTCTGTCTATGTAGGAAGCTGGTTATCTATTTCCCATCTCATTCCAGAAATAATTTAATGTGGTCTATTTAATATTAGTATCTTGTTTTATGATTCATTTTCCAGTCAACCCTATTCAGACGTATTATTTTCTAGAAATAATAATTACAGTGATTTCAATATAAAATATAGTATACGTGTATTGTTGGTTTCCTTCTAAGAGGCTGTCAGCTACTCGTAGGTTTAATTGCTGCCACTGACATGGATTTACAAGGCTGCAAAACTGTAAGGTGAAAAGTCTATGCATCCACAGCCTCATACTTCAAAAGATTTAGAATTGCAAGAAAATCTACATTTAAAAAACAAGTCTTTGGGAGTAAATATACTACCTTTCCACAAAAACTTTCTGCATGTTCCTGGATATAAAAGTATTATGTTCAAGGTAGAGTTTCCATGTTAAATTCTGCTCAGAGTGAATCAATGGAGTGAGAATTACGATGTCAAAAGCTATGGGGTTTCCAAGAAAAAAAAAAATTGAGTCATAGTGCTGAAAGGGTTCTTACATATAATCTGGTCTCATTTCCTCATCAAAGAAAAGCTGCCTTTTATAATATTCTGAGGGAGAGAGTGTCTGGAATTAGCTTGACTGCTCAAAGTGACAGGAAGCTCCTTACTTAATGAGGATGATCAGTCCATTTTTGGGCAAGTCTTCACTAGCAGGAAGTGTCCCGAGTGTGACTTTGCTGTCTAAAGATCCTGGGGTTTACTAGTCTCTGTCACTTAGCCGGCCATGTCACCTTAGGTAGTTAATTTTTCCCACTTGGGTTCAAGCTTCCTGGACTGTAAAATGGAAAGGGCCATGTATTCCTCCAAGAATGGATGGAAAAATGAAAGAGGACAGTGGCTGTCAGCTGTCAGCACCGTGGAGCAGATACCTGAGAATATCACTTGCTTTTCCCCCACTAGACCTTCCTTTTGGCTGATTCCCACATTTATAGCTCGGGAATTTCCTCACAAGCTAATAATAAAAATAGAGAAACAAAGAGCTAGAGTTCTTTTCTCTCACGGCAAAAACTGTGCTACAGAGAAGCTGCTGCTCCATTGAGAGGGGAGCTGTGGGCCCCTCCCAGATAGTTTTCTATTTTTCATGTTCCTTGAGTGCTGAGAGTTTTGTGTCCTCTCTTCTAAAATGTAAAACAGATCACAGGTTTCTGTAGATTATTTCTACTCCAAACTCTAACTTCGACCTTCTGTGGGTAGCCAGCCGTTCCAGGAGGCTACTTTTGGAAAGCATA